AGATCACACCACAACCCTAGATTCCTAAATCCAAAGCTATTTTCTAGTGATTCTTATCCAACTTCACAACTTGGTGAAGAAGATCTTTACTAGTTCAAGACCAAACCTATTGGAGTGTGTTTATTGAGAATCGTTGGTGCACCCAAGATTGCTTGAGGCCTAGATAATCCATTATGGTGGTGAATCCAATTAAATATGCACATAATGTCAGAGAGACACTTCAGCGGAGAGGCTTATTGAAGCAATGGAGCATCTAACCATAGTATTGTTTGAAGTATAAGACTGATTTTGGGATAATGAATTAGGCCTTAGTGAATTGAGAAGGTTCCCCACAATTTTTCCCTAAGTGGGTTTCCGCGTCAACAAATTACTTTTGTCATTTATTGTTTTTATGTATATACTTGTGATTTGATACACACGCGCGTACTATATGTTTGATTTAATATCTTCATCATCCATAGTTGTGTACAAAAGGTTTGGGTTGTTGGGTTGGGATCCCTATGGTAGATTGAGTGTTGAGTGATTACTTAGTAAAATCAATACACTAATCTCCATGGGTTCATGGGGTCATGGTAGTTAAAAGGGGGTTCTCACTATTAATTAACTAATCATTGTGAGAAGAGGTAATTGTGGTAGCAATAGGTTTTAAATTGTTATTGTTATTGTTTAAGCTTAAAGTTTAAAAATCTATTCACCTTTCTATAAGTGTCTTGCACTGCACGTGTGTAATCGTGAGGCAAAATCCACATATATTTCCCCTTCCCAAAACAACAAAAGTCATTTGGCTTTGCATAAATTGATTCAATATGTCCTCTAGAATCTTTCTTGTGGGTGCTGGTATGGTGGATACTAGAGAGATTTTTGTGATACTAGGGGATCGACTTGTGGCTTATATTGGTCGTTCCTCCAACTGAAGTTTAGGTAGTTACAGCACAGAGAGGTATAAGTCTCGAAGTAAGACTTGAAATAAGGTTGTCGAAAGATGATATTGCATTGGCCTAATCCAAAAAATCCTCTCGGAACACTGGAATAATATGGCACTCCCCAATGCAATGCCCAAAGATAACACAAATCCAGCACACCGACTTTGTGGGGGGAAATACTCAACACCTCATTAAAGTAATTTAAAAACATAAGAAATAATATATATATATACACACACAATAAACAAAAGTAAAATAAATAACAAGTAAAAAAAAACAAATGAATTTATTGAGAAAAATGTTTCCAAGTAAATCGTATGTGAAGGTGGATTCTTCATTCACTTTTTCTTATATTGCTCATTTGATCTCAGTAATGGCGCCAAAAATATGCTTGATTTCCAAAGGTAACACCAAAGTTCAAGTGCGGTCAAGAAGTAGTAAATACTCAATGAATTTTGAGGTCGAACAACAAAGATTAAAAGGAATTTAGGAATAAGGTAAAAGGAAAACAAGTTTTATTTTGCTGAAGGTTGAATTGGCTGGACAAACAATTGTAAATAAATTAAAGATAAATATATTAGAAGAATGATCCTTTAACTTTGAGATCTGAATCTGTTCATGTTCATCCGATAATTATATTTATTCAATTCTTAATTATCTCAGTTGATTTTTACATCAATGTAATCAATCAAAAAATATATCTTTAAAAAATAATTAATTTCACTGATATGAAATTAATATTTGAAGATCTAATTTTATAAAATTCGTAGGGAATCATAAGTATTGAATATACCAAGAATTCAATCTTGTTAATACACAATCAAATAATTGTATAAAATATAAAAGTTTGCTAGAATATTCAATCAATCTTAGACGAATAAAGCTTTAAAATTAAAATTCAAAAAAAAAATTTGCAGAATATAAATATCTAAATAAAAAATTATAAATCCATACCCTAGGCTAAAGAGTATAAAAAGAACTACTTACTGATCGTGGGTAGATCTCAGAAAAAATAAAGAACAATGTAAAAGATGAAATCTGGAATAATTCTTCTCTCAAAAGAAATGGTCTATAGTTATACTAGGGAGGCTACGGTTGGCCTTGTAATAAGTCTTCGTTTAAAATTAAGTACATTTAGGTCAAATTCGTGCATTAGATATCGGGTGCGCATCCTGACACAGGTAATGTATCTGTCCAAACTTTAATCTCGATTGTAACATAGTTATAGGCCAAGTCACGTAATTGTCATAAAGCATATTTTTTGTCGCTCTTGAAGTCTTTTTTCTAACGCCTCAAAAATCAGGTTAATTGGACACCGAGGTACAAAACTATGACCACAATATTAAAAATGTCTTAAAGTCTTATTTTCTAGAATTCTTTTTTAATTAAATTCTAAATGAGTTTCCTACTAATCAAGACTCCCACAAGGCTTAAATTATTGAATCATCTTTTAATCTTGACTCTTTAATCTTCTAGGCTTTCACATAAATTGGTTGGGCATAAATCTCGTAAAAAAGCCACAATAAATACATTTTTGTACGAATTGAATCAAATCAATCCTAATGAGATGAAAACATTAAAACACATTTAAAATACAACAATATGCTTAAAGAAAGTGCAATAATACTTATTTAAATTAATAAAATAATGTGATTTCTAATCATTATCACATAGCTTTATTTTGTAATTTAAGTTTTGAAGATAATTATTTCTCACCCACCGATTAGTGTAAAAGAAAATCCACATTACTCTGAAAAAGTTTACTATCTCACAAAAATAGATGCGCATTAGCGTGCCTTGCACGCGGACATCTCGCTAGTGTTATATATACACACACAGAGCTTGATATGACATATCGCCAACCGTAATGTTTGTTTATGTACCAGACATTGGTACATACCACCATGTGATATCATATATGCTATGGGACCCAAAAATTTATAATTGCGTGACAATTCAGTGGCTGCCTCTTTTTTTTTTTTTTTTTTTTTGGGTAAGTGAAAAAAAAACAGCCAAAGAATAGGCATCATCATGGACGTTATGTACAATAGTGCTTTTCATTATGTGTGCAACTTTTTCATCACAGTAATTTTTTTTATTTATATTTAATTTTTAATCACAGTAAATATTTTAATTATTTAATTATATTTTAACCATAGTAAACATTTTAATCACTAATTTACATTTTAATTACACTAAAAAAGCGTGTTTTGCCTGAATTAACCCTAATGTAGTGCTATGGATGCAAAAATCAATAATTGCGTTACAATGAGCGGCCATAGAATAGGCATCATCATGCGAGGTTATGTACAATAGTGATTTTCTTTTTATGGTCAAGGGCAGGGGCGGAGCTACGAGAAAAAGATTTTGGGTCGGTACATTAGTACGTTTTAATTTTTTTAAAATTAATCGTAAAAATTGTTAAATTTATATTTATTAAAATTATATTTAATATTTAAAAGTTCAATAAACATAAAGCTTAAAAACCTATATACATAATATGAACAAACAAAAAAAATTATAACTTCTTATCAAGAGTATGACTAATTATTATTACTTAAAATTGACACTGATATATTTTTATTATTTGAAAGAGTTACAAATCAATTTTATCAACAATAAATTTTTTTATATATAAAATCATAGTAACGATCTTCTATTTATAATTCTATAGTTTACTACATAATGACACACATTTTTATTCAATAACGAAATAACCCTAAAATTTAAAAAAAATATATAAAATAACCTCAATATGTTCAAAAAATATTCAAACATGTCTAAAGTGTGTCTAAAAGCTAACAATAATATTAGTTCTATTTAATTTAAAATTTAATTAGTGAAAACACAATGGTTTGTGATCATTGAATAGATAGTAGAGTTTATTAAATATTATGGCTTACTATTAAACTTAATATGACAATGTATTAAGTTTTAATAACATTGTTCAAAAAGTTAACAATCATTTAGTTAAGAATCCATTCAAATCGATATCACTAACACACAATATTAGGGTGGGCACAATTAACTATATTTAAATTTTATTTTTAAAAAATATATGTCTAATAAGAAGAAAAAAAAAATTAAGAAGGGGGCATGCGCCCACCTAGCCCAAGGGTGGCCCCGCCCTTGGGACTCAAGACATCAAGCTCAGAATTCCAATGGCTTGGCTTTTTTACTTTTTGGTTCATTTAAATGACAAATTATATTGATGTGGGAATATCCAATTTGATCATCCTCACAGAACAGGAATCCGGTTTTTCCCCATTGGAGAAGGCCCTATGAAGTAATGCTACACTTCAATCAAGAAATATGTGCAATGCTTGAAGTAATTGCGTGCCTGTTTTCTTAAAACTTGTTCAAAATTTCATGTTCTCTTGATAACCTTTTTTTTTTTTTTCCATTCGAGATGATTTTTTAAACGAGTCATGTTCATTTTGCATTTTTCCTTTTTCCTTGTTTTCTTGTCCAATTTGCTTCTTTTCTCCAAACTTAATTGCACGTTGTAGGATAAATTTGTGCATATATAAATATATTGTTTATGTAGTGAGATGTATATAGATCAATTAGTTAAACAATAACTAAATACTTTTTTTATTTTTTTCACAAATTTAACTTACACTAAAAAATGTTTGTTAGAAAAAGTATTTCCAAAAACAACAGTTAAGTATTATTTATTACTTGAACCTTATTTACTTTCGTAACTAATCTAATATTATCATTGCATTGGTGGTGGAGTATATCGCTTACTTAATCTGCAGCTAATTCAACTCAACTGACAAATTAAATTAGCAAGTTAGACTAGCAAATTAAATTTATATCTCATTACCGTTTGACAAGTTTGAGGCTCTTTGGATAAAAGTTTTACCATACACCTGTGACCAAGAATCATATTTATCATATCCTTTATTAGTCAAAATTAAATCTTGTATGATTCATGATACGGCCAATCCACTGTCTTACACCCAAACAATTTCAACCGTAAGGATAAGTTTGGCGTGTTGGATGGCATTTTCCGATTATATAAAAGTTGGCAAAGGTCTACCAGTGCCCTCTATCTACTAGGGACCATTCATTATGCATCTTAGCATCACCCGTCAATTGTTCTGCGCCAATTAATTACCATCTCCTATAGTTCCCCCCACATGGAAGAGCAACACCTCCTCCAACCCCTCCTCTCAACCACCACCACCGCCACCACCGATCATGCGGCCTCTGCCACTTCATTTATAAGTGACAATGGCAAGGCCTTCTTATCCGATTTGGGGATTATCTTCCGACTTGTTTTGATTATACTCATTGGAATGGTCTCCATTTGGGCCAACCATGAAGCCTCCAAGGGTTTTGCCATAACCATCATCAACGAAACTGCCGACACATCCCCCGGCCGTTGTTTCTCTCTCTTCTATGAAACAAACGACAAAGCCACGCGTATACTTCTCAATGCAAGTAAATTTGTCGAAAACATTCTTTACCTTGATGATAGCCTACCCAAGAAGCAAGTGGACCACGTCATTTTCCGGCTCGCTAGCCGGAATCTGACCCACATGGTCACTGTTGACTACGGCCAAGACAATGAGTTTGTCCTTCATGTTAATCCTTCAATAATGCAAGAGACCAATTTTAGCCATGCTATGTTATTGGCGGTGCAAAGAGGTATGGCACGTATTTGGCTATGGGATGGTCAAGGTAATGCCCCACTCTACCTTATAAATGGCATGGTTGAGTACATAACAGAGTTAGCCGGCTTCGGAACTGCGTTGAACTCTGGTGTCGGTGACTCACTGGAATCTGACTACACTTGCTGGAACAGTAAGGACTCCAAAGCCGTGGCACAATTTTTGAATAATTGTGAGAGGCACAGACCAGGGTTCATTGGACGGTTGAACCAAGCCATGAGACAGGGTTGGCACGATCGCACGGTGGATGATGTGTTAGGTATGCCAGCTCAGCATCTATGTGGATCACACAATTCTTCAGAACACCTCCTCTCAAAGATTAATGGAGTCTAATTTTTAGTTGTCGCATCCATGTCTGCTTTCAGTACAGAATTTTTGGGTACGATCACATCTATAATAAGATGCACCACCATCATTGGCCTTTCTCCCACGTCAATCATATCCATTCATGATAAGAAACGTAGCACCAGCAGAAAAGGTTTGCTTAAATAGTAAATATTTAAGTAGTAATTTAAGTTTTTGAGTTTGTTTATAATAAAATAAAATTTATAATTTTTGGGTTTGAGATACAAGATTTTGGGTTAAAATGCTATGTTCACCAATTTTTTTTATCAAATTATAGATCTTAAATGATGTGATAGATTAAAGTGGAAATTTGTGGGGCCTATTACTGATTCTATAAATTTTATTGATTTAGAATAAAAAATTTGATAAGTGTAGCATTTGATAGTTGGGTTTACATAGTGATACAAGTTCTTGGGCCGAGATAATTTCTCTTTGATTTACGTCGTACAAAAATTTTGGTATTGTACCATTAAGTTTTACAAGCTTTGTGGGTTGAAATATGAATTTTTAAATTTGTTATAACTTTTATGGCTTAAATTACAACTATTTGAGGGTTAGTTTTAATTTTTGGATTTTATAAATAAAAATATATGCATGATTGACTTTTTTTTTCTCTCTCCTTTCTAATTATTACTTGTACAAGAAAAAAAATTGTTAAATTATATTTGTAATTGACTAATTTTGTAAAATTTATTATAAATTTCAATTTATTCTATGGTTATGATGTTATCAAGTTTAAGATCCAAAAGAGTTATTGAAGAGAGGAGATCAAACACTAAAACAACATCATTCAACTTCATACGCACCTTCATTATTTAGACAATGTCATTATCTAGACACGTAAGATAAACCATTAGTTATTTTAACTTAGATTAATTAAGATAAAAATGAAATTGAAAAAAATCTGATTATTACACTTGGGGTGATTTTAAAAGAAATTTTTTTCTAATTTATAAGTTTTGAAAATGTAGTTTAAATAACAATTAGACCCCTCTTTAAGCAACATCCTTTAGAGCTCAAAAGAACAAATTTTTGCATTATTTTATGCTTAGGGACTTACGGAAGGAAATGAAAAAAATATCACAAAGGCAATATAGAAATCACCCTATGAGCTCACTTAAGGGGTCATTCATGCTCGCTCGAACAATGATTGTCTTGTCGGAATTGGAACATGTTGTTCATTTCAACGACAATTGTCTTATGATCACCCTTCCACCGATCTAGTGATAATTTGCGAATCTATATTTTCTTATTTATTAAGAGTAATGTTTGATGGATTTAAAAATTAGACTTGATAATCTCAATCATTGAATAGTAGTGGGTTCTAATAAATGCTAGGATCCACAGTGAAATCAATAGTTGAGATCATCAAGTCTAATTTTTAAGTTTACTTTTTAACACATGTAGAATTGCTCATTTATTAAACCTACCCTTATCTAACATATAAATATGGAGAGTTTTTTCTACATCTAAGTTAAACATATAAAAATTTCTAAGAGAGAGAATAATTGGACTGATGCATGATTAAATTCATTGACCTAATAAGGTGGTATCACATTGTAATTATTTTTTCTTTTCCTTTAGATTTTATAATCTTGTTGGGATCCAGTCTAACTATTCTGCCAGATTATGACTTTATACTACTTGTAATTGTGATAAATGATGTTTCCATGTATACCGAGGTGTTAAAATATGATTGGCTGCGTGTAAATAATTTGGTTTAAAGGACTGCCTGAAAAATTTAAACTCTTTTCAAGATTTAAGTCTAACCGAATTACCTGTAAACTATGCAGCTAAAGGGCATCCACTTAAAAATTGGCACGTCAGCCACCCTTTACTGGGAATCGATCTTTTGTTGGACAAGCTTTCACGTAGAGTCTTTTTCACCGGATGCTACCAATATAGCCATCCCAGTTCCAATAGCATTATCATCCTCAAAATCTCTCTCGTCGCGATTGCCGTTGTTGTTGTTGCCGTCGCTGCCAATTCTCATCCCCTTTTTGTAAATTTAGTTTTAACCTTTTCCACCTCCTTAGCATTGTCATACCTAAATCCATAAAACTTAGACAATAGATCAACTATTTTTCTTACCAAGAATAACCCAAGTTTTGTTGATGTTTTTTTTAGAGCAATGTTATAAGGATCTTATTTTGGGATCTCATTTACGGATTTAATGATGTGATTTTCATGTAATCATTTGATTAATTATGAGTTCTAATGTTAGATGTGGTTTACAATAAATTTAATAATTGTACATTATTAAGTTATTAAATAAAATCTTCAAATAAAGTCTAAATAGCATTTCCTCTTTTTTTTAACCCCATCCGGAGTTTTGTTGAGGGAGATTGTTTAGAGAGACAAATAAATTGTTTAACTGGAATCTATGTGTGAGAGAGAGTGACTGTAGATAAGCATGTGGGTGTTGGTGCACTTTTGAATTGTTGTGACAGAATCAAGAGGAATGATAGTTTGGAGAGAGAGAAGAAAACGGAGACAGACGAGTCAAATGGTTTCAATAGTATGGGTCCCAACATAACCAGCAGATGTGCCATTTTGTGAATGGTTATCCGTACAGCAAGAGGTTAACAGCTAAGAAGTTAATCTCTAATAAGGTTCAGAATCTGAGTCTATACGACGCTTCTATTTCTAGGTGGAAGTGTTATAGTGCTTTTGGTCAAAAAAAAAAAAAACAAAAAAAACAAAAAATAAGGTTCAGATAATGTCCAAAAAAAAAAAAATCTATAATAGATTGCCCCAGTGAGTTACTTGTAGCAACTTGAACAAATATTGCTTGAATGAATATACCAGTAGCTTTGATCTGTGTAAGCTTTTATTAAAAAAAGACGAGTCACTTGTAATTATTTATTTCTTGAATAAACATGAGCAAATTGTAAATTCAATTTCTCAAAAGAGATTGCTCAATTGTGATTTTAAATTCTCAAAATCGACATTATTAATAAAACAAGAAGAGATTACTCACTTGTGATTATAAGTTATTTAAATAAATATTATGAACAAATTGTAAATTCAATTACTCAATTTTTTGTAAAATTTTCTTGTAATTAATAGACTTGCAAATATTTACATGGTAAATGTGATCGTAAAAAAAAAAAAAAAAAGGCAAATAATGTTGATGCATGGTTATATGATATCGTATAAATCCGTGATTTTAGCAATGCAACCATTTCTTCAAATGGTTTTGCTTGTCTAAGCCCTTTTTCTCTCAAACAAAAATACGTAGTTGGTTATGAATAGTTCTCTTACTTTATTATTATTTTTTTTCTATTGTTTACGTAAGTTATTCTGCATATGTACAAAACTAGTAGAATTTACAGAGATTTGCCTATATGTGAATTTCTTGGTTTTATTATAGAGATAATTTCTTACAACTTTTGTTTTCATGGTGACTTCAAATAGTAGCATAGATATGAACAACATATAAAGATAGTTATAATTATAATCCTAGATCGCAAACATGTGCCCCTCACGTGGACTTTTTGAGCTAGTACATACTTATAAATCAACTAATCTAAAGAGTTCTATTATATAATTTGTGTAATTTGTAATAAACATACACTACATTTTTATAGAATGAATAGTAATTTTTATTTTTTATTGACGCTTAAAGTATTGATGAATTACTTTTCTGTAAACTTCTACCCCTAAAACTTATAACTTTTCACATGAACCTAATAATTTAGATTAATTGAATTTGCAATATCATAGTAATGATACAAATGCATTTTATGGTACGTGGATACATATAACTAAAAAGTGTCACAAACACTTATTAAATTATGAAAAATAGAGAAGAGAAAACATTTTATGGTGGTCATCTAATTATAAATAATTGGTCAGATGTGGTAACTAAATGAATGTAATATTGAACATTCATAGCATTGCTAACCGATACAAATAAAATGGGTTATAGTAATTTCAATAAACATAACTAAAAAGGATGTATTAAACCTAAAATATAAGAAAGAAAAAAATAAAAAGTCAAGGTTTGACAATATTATTCAAGTTATATTAAAATAAATCTTAGACTAAATAAGACTCTAGTATCTTTATAAAATTTCATTTAAAAATTTAGAAACTTGTCATCAAAAAATAAAAATAGAGAGACATAAATAAAAATAAATTTAATTATTTTAATAGTTAACTTTTGCCTTTTAAAAGAAAGAATAGGAAAGAATTCGATATGTATAATATTAACATGAATTCCATATTAATAATGTTAGTGTTCTCTTTATTTTAAGAGTAAAGTTCTCCAACTAAAAGTTTAACATTAATTAAGTCCTATTCATATGAATTCTACATGAAATAAACCTAGTATTTTTTTTATATTTCCTTTTAGGGGAAAAGTAGTCAATACAATAGGTTAAATTTGATGCTATTTGCCTATTTTCACCTTTTTCAATTTTGGTAAGATGTATGACATTCAATTGCTTTGGTCCACTATTTTCTTCAAATTGTGCAACTCAAATTTTTTAGTTTATTGCACGAGAAACAAATTTTTACTTTTAGTACGACAAACAATTGTCAAGATTTTTGCATTGAGATGTTACTCGAGTAACCTATTTGATTATGTTAAGTATGGCTTGTATTCCAAGTCTCAATTGAATTTTATTTGGAGAATTCCATGGGCTACCTATTGAAATAATATTGTTGACACTAAGTGTTTGTGTCGGAACCTAGTTCTATAATTCATGAATTATGGTTGGACTAGGTGTCTTCATTGGGCAAGTCTTTGTTTTTCAAGACTTTGGCACAAAATGGGAATATGGTGATTTATTTTTAGCACTTAATATTGCATATTTATAAATTAAACCATTCATTTTTTGTATTAAATGATGCATTTTATTCTATTTATAGTTGGATGATGAATTAAGTTGTAATTGTGGGTGATAAAAAGATGATAAAGATTGATCGAAAGGTCACGAAAATGATTAAGAAAGCAAGGAGATAAATTAAGGAAAGGCTGCACCAAAGATTAAGGAAAAAGATGGTTCAACCGGTTGAACAATCAACTTCAACCGGTTAATCAGAGTTTGACAAGATGATGCAAAAGTATTGAGAGTTCATCAATCGATTGAACAACCACTTCCAACCGGTTGATCAGATTTTGACAAGATGATGCAAAAGTTTTGACAGTTGATCAGACAAAACCAAGACTAAAGGAAAGTACTGGGAGGCATTCAACTGGTTCGTTAAGCATGTTCAACCGGTTGAATAAGGGCGACCAACAGGTTGAACCTTACTTTCAACCGTGTTAAGGCGGTTTTGATTGAAACTTTCCCGAGTTCTCATTCGTCGAAGGGGGTCGGCTGAGCTTTCATTGGGTGGCTCCACACGCCTAGGCAAGCCTTCCAATTGGTTGATTTCACCTCCCACATGTCTCAAAGCACATTCCATTGGCCGAGCTGAGCGACAAAACTTCCTCGGCACTTCACCCATTATCCGAGCCACTCACCTTGTCCAACGAGAAGCTAGAGTTAGAGAGTATATATATGGAGGAGTCTTGGAAAAGGGGTAGATCTTCTATTTAGTTTCATTTGTAAGCTTAGCTGTAGAAGAGAAGTGTTTCATTGTAATCTTCCAAAGCTTTGTCGGGTTTTGGAGATGATAAGTCTTATGCTATTTCAAAGCTTTGTTGTTTTGTATTTGAATCCTATTGCTTGAAGAACAATCTTAGTGTGAGAATTTTACTTTATCCTCCTATTTTTACATATTGTTTGGTACCGATTTCGAAGTCATGAATTCTATTTCCAGCTAAATTTCGGCGCGATCTAATAGATGATTCTCATCCATAATCAAGCATGATGACTCTCTAGTAGGTTTTAATTGATGAAATGTTTTGAAGTAAGGAAAAATTCGATTTTAAATCTTAGTTGTTAAGTGATGACTTTGATTTCCCGTTGACGATTAATCCGGCACAATTAATGCTTAGACCTAATTTATACAATCTAAAAGTTTGTCATGCTAGTCTATTTCTTATCTTCAAAGATTCAATAATTTATGATTTGGTTTTGTTGAATATCATCTGTTTGGGAGTGTTTGAATACAACTTCAGATGAGAACAAGTAGAGAGTCATAATGTTTGGTTATGGTGGGTTGATTCATGAGGATTAGCCGATTTTTTTCTATTGATTATAATCTATACAAATTTCAATGTTGTCACACTTTCACAAATCACAAGAATTCTATTTTCACTCTCATACATCACCAATTGAATTCCATTCGTTCCCTGAGGAAATGGCCTTGGATTTATTCAAGTTACTACAATGCAATTATTTTCCTATGCTTGGGAAGTCTACTGTAACATTTTAAGAAGGCGTGATTCAATCACATATAAGAGTTACAAGAAGTTTACTCATACACTTAATGGGCTTTATGAGAAGTCTTTGACTTTGGCGATATATTCACAAGGCTTAGAAGAAAAAAAAGGTTTAGAGGCTTTAATAGAAAAAAGAAGATGTCTTCATCGACTTGAAGTTTGACGTCAATTGTGAAGATTGACCATTGCTCTATCTTTTGGGATCCTTTGGAAAAGGATTAAAATATTGTAATTTCGTGATAAAGTGGTTACACGTTCTCTTCCCTTTGTTTACGAGAATGTCTTATTATAGTCTCCAACCTTGAATTGTAAAAATTTGCCACTATACTTTGCCCATGAATGTTGGTTTGTGTGTCAAACCAAACTTGGTAAATTTATGTGTTGTTATTTTTCAATTTTGCTTCATTATTATTTGTCTATGACCTTTGTTAATAAAAAACTAGTATCAGAGCTTCGTTTTTCAGGATGGTCATAGCAAAAATTGAAATAAAAAAATTTGTTGGGCAGAACAATTTCAGTTTATGGCAGATCAAAGATGAAGGCATTGCTTTGTTAGCAAGGTTTGACAAAAGCCATTGATGAATCTCTTTACAAGGAGAGAGATCAGACAAAAGGCACTAATATTGAAGAAAAGATACATTATAACTTAGTTTTCTACTGCTAATGAGGTTTTTGTGAGGTCAACGATAAAGACAAAGCCGAAGGGCTCTGAAAAAAATTAGAGAATTTGTATATGAAGAAGTCTCTTGCCAATTACTTGTATCTAAAGCAATGAGTGTATACCCTCAAGATTAAGGAAGGTACATCCATTAATAAACATCTGGATGAATTTAACAAAATTATTATGGACT